TTATATTTTATATAATGTATTATTATACTTTCATATATATTCTTTATATATTCACAAAAATTCTTTATATATAATTGCATATAAACACATGGTTCTTCAATTCTTTTCAAATTAAACAATTATCACAGGTCAGAAACTATTTGGATGACTATAATAATAAGCATTCTCATGATGGTGTATTGAAAACAAACAAAAAAGTCAGTGATCTAATAACTCAAGTGCTTACTTCTCTGAATTATAAATAAAATACATCACTCTCAGATACTTAAGTATTTAGATGAATTTTTATATAATTATGGATAGATATAGAAGAAGTGTAAAATCATACAGTTTAATTCAACTTTCTTTTCTACAGTTTCTAGCACCATTCTTTCTCTACTACATAGTAAATAGCCTTTTATTATTCAAAAGAAATGTAAAGATTTCAAGACTAAATATTTAGCATTCATTAATTATATTCTTTAGGAAAAGTTGTTAACCTCTACAGCACTCAACTCTAATATCTTCATATAAATGCTTAATGGGCTGGAATTATAATGTATTTACTTTTTAAAATCTGGCCCATGAATTCTAAAATATTAATATAGACTAAAAATCATAAAACAGTAGTTTTTATTGTGATGGAATTTCTTCTTAAAGGAATCTGATCATGAACACTGATCATTTAACATAAAGATAAAAGGACTTCAAAGTAATATGATATAAGCACATTAAATCATTTGCAACATAAATATACCATGAATAATATTAATATGACTTTATTACATAGCGTCATGAACTGTGAACATTTTCTCATCAATATTAAACACATATGATTTTCCGAGTTTTAGAATTTTCTTACACACTGGCTATGCTTACTTATTGAATAAATATTATGAAAAGACTAACTTATAAGGTAAATTTTAAGTTTAAAAATAAAAAATGGTATGAATTTAATAATAATTACTTAAGCTATTATAAACTATCTAAGTAAATTTCTTTGCCATATTAATTTAATTGCAATTATTAAGCTCAAATATCACATGATAATGGATAAATTTTTTGTAAACTCAGTTTTAAAAATATTATTAAAATTCACATTATAAATTCTTCTTTTACACTATTGTTTTAAAGGGAAATCAAAACAAAGAAAAATGTCAATGAAATGCTAGCAAATAGAAACACGCACACATAGGACACACAGATTTGAAATTTTGAGAGCAGAAAAATGAAAAATTTGTCTTAATTACATAAATAATTTTAATGTTTAATGTTTCATTTACACATAGGAATATTAACTATATAATGTAGAAAATATATTTAAATTATAATAATGTCCAAGTACAGTCTTCTGATGATTTGTTATTTTAACAATGAATCTCCAACAGTGTCACTGTTTTGAAAATATTATCTTATTTATCATACCTTTAAATGCTACTTTCACTTGCTTGTTCCTTAGAGTATAGATGAATGGGTTCAACAGAGGAGCAACTGAGGTATTCAAAACAGCCACTCTTTTATTAAACACTTCTGCATTCTTTGCAGAAGGATTTATATACATAAAGATGCAGCTTCCATAAGAAAGTGAGACCACAATCATATGAGAGGAACATGTAGAAAAAGCTTTTTTTCTCTCTCGCACAGAGGGGATTCTCAGAATGGTCCTGACAATGTAGATGTAGGAGAGAATCACCAGGAACAGGGTAAAGATGAGAGTCACTGCAGCAAGGACAAACTGAATCACTTCTATGAAATGTGTGTCTGAACAAGATAGATGCAGCAATACAGTATAGTCACAGCAGTAATGGTTGATGATGTTGGATCCACAGAAAGGCAGCTGGAGAGTCATTGTATATGGCACAATGACAACTATAAAGCCAAAGAACCAGGAACATACAACAAGCTCAACACAAAGTCTCCAGCTCATTCTAGTTGTATAATGCAGGGGTCTGCAAATAGCAACATAACGATCGTAGGACATGGCAGCTAAAAGGTAAAATTCGGTCGCTCCCAGCAAGATTGCGAAAAAATACTGAATGAAGCAACTAGCAAAAGAGATAGTCTTGTCTTCAGATCCAATATTGACTAACATTTTGGGAACAAATACAGATGTAAAAGATACTTCCAAAAAAGCAAAGTTTCGGAGAAAGAAATACATAGGAGTCTGGAGGCGATAATCCATCAGGGTCAGAATGATAATTGTGACATTTCCTGTGATACTTAAGATGTAAGTTAGCAGCAGGAAAACGAAAAGTACAGCTTGAAGCTTGGCATCGTTTGTTAATCCAAGAAGAATGAACTCTGTCACTGAGGTTTGGTTTCGCATCATCAACTTCAGACAAATTAAGATAGAAAATAATAACAATGATAAAGTTTGTTTACTTGTTTTTATGTATTTAGTACAGGGTCTACAGGGTGTATAGGGTCTCACTACGTAAATTCGACTCTTAGTGTTCCTCCTGTTTTCAGCCTCCCAAGCCCTAGGATTACAGGCACGTGCCATCATGCCATCTCAATCACCATCTCAGCGTACCCCCAGGGGTGGGGCTAGCAAGGCACACCAGGAATGGAACCCTGGCCCCTGTGCTCTACCTAAGCAGACACTTTAGTCCTCTGAGCTATTTCGCCGGCACCCGATAAAGTTTGAATAACACTGGTTTCCAATTACTTTATTGTAGTATAAAACTCTGGCCAGCAAATGATTAAAAATAACATTTTTCTATACTTTATTTGGAAATGAATTACAAATGAACAAAAAGAAGAGCAAATCAACACCCTGAACTGTTACACCATATAAATTAAAGAAATAAATAGTCCTGCTTCTTAGGGACAGCTTTGGTTATTTTTTCTTAATTGTATCAGTATTTTTTACCATTTTCTTGTTTATCCTATTCTGATGGTCTACATTATTGCCTGATGCTACATATGTATCAATAAATTTAAAGCAAAGTTAGCTGTCTAATATTGAATTTAAATGTATGACCCAAGGTATGATTCATAAGAAAAAAGTTAAACTTTGTCATTTTTTTCTGTTCTTTCATATTTTTTGTTTATTTCTATTTGGTCATGTTAAATGGTGATTACTTTGTGAACCTACTGAAACTCAAAGTCTTCATACAGTTTTCTGTAAATCTTAACAATGTGTTCAATATTCATATTAACAATATGTCCTGACTTATGGCAATGACAATTAAAGATATGACCATTCAATATAGGCTTATGGCTTAATTAATCCTTAGTCAAATATTAAATCAAATTAATCACACTGATTACTCTGCCTTGTTATAAACATGATCTGCCCACCGATATATTATATTTCCTTAAAAACTGAGTTCAAGTTCAGTTTCCCATAGAATTTTCTCTAACAAATTCTGTAATTGCTTCCATGTCTTTATAAGTATGAAACACAAAATAAAACTAGGTCATAAATTCAAGTTATTTTTAATAATATCAAAACATTTTTTAATTTTTCAAATTCAAAATGAATAAATTATCTGCCAGATAAGCTTCTAGGTACATGCCTTTTGTGAAACCAATCAGACACACAAATGTAAATATCTCATATTTTATCTACATGAGAAATCCAAAATACAAATAAATTAGAGAAAAATAAATGATAAATAGTAGGAAATAGGGAGATAGACCTTTTGCAAAAGGGAGGAGGACCAAGAGAGGATGGGAAAGAAAGAAAAGCATGATAAGAACTTACGTGTACTAACACCATAAATAATGTGGACTTTACTAGAAAATGCTTTTCTTTAAAGAAACTTCACAAGTTGATTGTAAGAATCAAATTAATATTTAGAACTCTAATATACCAAGTAGTTATACAGCATTACATTAAAAATTCTGTTATATCAATGTATAATGTAAATTACTCATAGTTAAAAACATTTAATTGTTCATTAAAATTATGGATATGTATGTCTGGTTATATATCTTGATTATTTTATAATAAGTATAGAAAAATTAAAGTGGTAAATTTAAAATCATTCAGTAGTAGAGAATTTTACAAAAGCATTCACTTTCAGAGAAATATTGTCATAAATTGCTCTATATCTTAATACTTGATTACATTATAACATTCTTGGAATTTAGTTGAATAAATGTTGGAAATTTAACTAATGATTAATGATTTTGTTTTTCTATGAAAATAACTAGAGTGTTTTAGATAATTTTAAGAAATCAATTTCATCTTCCACTTGAAATTCATAAATATTAGTTAAGACTTAAAACTCAAACTTACAAATTAATTCATCAAGAAATTGTGTTGACCAAACATCAGCATCTCGAAATTTCTGCAGTTTCAATAGTCTTTTTTTTTGACAAAACATAAACTTTATAAATGTTTATTTTACTGAACGAATAAATGAACGGGGGATCAAAATGATAAAAGTTCATTTTATATTAGTAAAGGATTTTATCTATTAAATAAAATATAAAAT